CAGAAAATTCATAACTTGAGACGTATCAGTATTTATTCTTTTACTTTTTTTACTATCGTAATCTATTACTATCTATGTCAGTTATCTATACATACTAACATTACACCTATATCATTTAAAGATATTATCATTGTCATGAATAGTTTACATGTCAACATCACACATGCGACCCACACGTTGTGTACCCCTGGCCCGCTAATATTTATTTTGTTAAGATTGCGCGTAGCTTCGACCGACACACAGGTAGATTCGCTTTATTTCTACTTATACCCACCGTAACACAAATTTATTTTTCAATTACCGACTTTGTATAAGTATTACATCTCTTGTTATTATGTCTGCGCGTAGTTTGAGTAATTTAAATATTTATTACCAAAATACTCGTGGGCTCAGGACTAAACTAATAGATTTTTATAGGAATATTGAATCTAACAATTATGACATTATTGTAGTTACTGAGAGTTGGTTATGCGATGGCATATTAGATTCAGAAATATGTGACCAACGTTATGACGTATTTAGACATGATCGGGTAGCCCCCCGTAAAGGTGGAGGCGTTCTGGTTTGTGTCAATCGCGAGCTTTCAGCGAAAAAACGAATTGATATTAATTTAACCTATGCGGAGTCACTTTGGTTAACTATACATATTGACAATAAAATTCATCCTCGTTCGGATTTCCACGTTGCTAGTAATGTTATTCATTTAATCACGGTTTACATACCTCCAAATAATAATTCTCATCTCACGTTAAAGGAATTTAAAAGCAACTTTCTGTCGCTTCACAAGTTATTTCCTAACGATACATTCTTAGTAATTGGGGATTTTAACTTACCCTTTATTAATTGGACAAAGGACGGTCACGGCATTCATCACGCATCGAACTCCGAGTTAAGCCTCATAGTTAACGATTTTGTTGACTGTCTTAATTATACTGATATGACTCAATACAATCTTGAACCAAATTGTTGTGGTAATATACTCGATCTTGTTATTTGTAACACTACATTACAATGTAAACAAAGTGATACGTCTTTAGTGAATGTGGACCGGTTCCATGTCCCTTTAGAAATAACTGTTACGAACATCGTTATTAAATCATTGAAGTGTCAACCGCGTCTTATTCGTAGATTCTATAGGGCAGATTATGATAATATTAATGCCAAACTTAAGGAAATAGATTGGAATAATTACTTTCTCCAATCAAATATTAATGAAATGGTGGAGAAATTTTATTTGAAACTTAACTCTCTAATAGAATCCTATGTCCCATCCATTACGGTTTCGAATAGATTTAATTATCCTAAATGGTATCCGGCCTCACTTATCAACGTTATCAGAGAAAAGTCTAGAGTTCATAAAAATTGGAAAAAATATAAAAATCCCCGGGACTATGCAGAATTTTCCTTGTTGAGAAGAAGGGTTAAGGACCTTCAGGACAAATCCTACATAAATTATACTACCAGTTGCGAAAGTCAAATAAAATCTTCACCACAAGAATTTTGGAGCTATATAAAAGCCAGGCGGAAAGGAACTGGGTACCCATGCCATATGAAGTATGAAGGACTCACTTTCTCCAAAGGGAAAGATATTAGTGACGCGTTTAATAATTTCTTTCACAGCGTTTTCCAACGTCCTGAACCTTCTTATGGAAGTGTGGTATGCCCGGAATCTCCATATGCCAACATTACTCACTCCATCACAGTTACAACAAAAAATTTAAAATCTATATTCCGTAATCTAGACTATAAAAAGGGTTCGGGTACAGATGGTCTTCCGCAAATTTTTGTAAAAAAATGCGAAACGGGCCTGCTTAAACCCTTACAAATGATCTTTCAAAAATCTGTGGATATAGGTGTTTTCCCTAGTCAATGGAAGGACGCACAGATAGTTCCGTTACATAAGAAGGGGCCCAAGGACGACATAGTCAATTATAGGCCGATATCTTTGCTAAATAATTTCGGTAAAATGTTGGAAACTGTCGTTTACGAGCACGTTCTTATTGCTTCAAAGCGTTGTATACCATCTACACAACACGGCTTCGTTAAATCGCGTTCAGTCATTACTAACCTTCTAGAACTAAGTAAATACGTAATTACTAACATGAAAGACGCACAAATTGATGTAATATATACAGATTTTGAAAAAGCATTTGACCGTGTCAACCACGACATCCTAATTTCTAAACTAAGTGCGGTGGGGATTAAAGGTAATCTCCTGCGTTGGCTGGACTCTTATGTGAGGAATAGACGTCAGGCTGTCATTTTAGGTGGTTTCAGGTCAGACTTCGTCGATATTACGTCCGGCGTCCCACAGGGCTCCCTTTTATCACCGTTACTGTATAATATATATCTCTACGATCTACCTACATGTCTACATAACTCACAACATCTTTTATATGCTGACGACAAAAAAATATTTAGAAAAATTACCACTCATTCCGACTGCTTGAAGCTTCAGTCAGATTTAGACAGATTAACCACCTATTACATCGTCAATAAAATAAGCGTTAACACTAGAAAATGTCAAGTCATAACCTTTACCAGGAAAAAAAATCCCATTGTCTTCGAATATGCTTTAGGTAGCGAGGTAATCCCCAGAACCACACTAGTGCGAGACTTGGGAGTGCTATTGGATAGCGAATTTACCTTCTCCGCACACATTGATCATGTTGTTGGTAGGGCGTACAGAGCTCTGGGATTCGTCATACGAAACAGCAAACCCTTTAAAGACCTACAATGCCTTAAAGTTCTTTACTTTAGTTATGTAAGAAGTATATTAGAATTTGCTAGCATCATTTGGAGACCTTTCTTCAAAACATATATAGATAAAATTGAGAGAATTCAACACAAATTTATCAAACATTTAAACTATAAAGCCATTGTACAACATGAAACCTACCAAGATTCTTGTAACTACCATAAAATTAATACCTTAGAAGACAGACGTCAACTAGCCGACATGTTACTCTTGCACGATATACTTAACAACAAATTTGACTGTCCTACAATTTTGGAAACGTTCAGTTTTAATGTACCCACTAAACGAACTAGACATACACCGCTTTTGGCTACCCCTTCAGCTCCTACAAAATATATTAAAATGTCACCGTTTATTCGCGTCCCTGATATCTACAATAACAGTTTTTCGAACTTGGATCCCTTTAATTCAAGTCGCAATGTATTTAAGATTAAAGTCATACAGTCTTTTAGTCACTCATCGGGACCAATTACTTAATTCATGATATAACACTCCTCAGAAACACAATCACACAACCACAGAACCTCATCCACTCAATAAGAATATCATTTTGTACCTATAGTTTATACAGTAACATCATCGACTGACATAGATAGCTGCTTTCTTTATTAATGTAGCAACACGTCTGTGATATAATTCTACTTTTTCACGTGTTCCTCATAATTGGCGTAATGAATCATGTATCTGTTTTTAGCTGTAATAATGTAATTTTGTAAGCTGTGAAGAACCTTTAAATAAATAAATAAAATAAATAAATAAAATAAAATATCCTTTGTGTCATCTACAAATTGTTTTTCCGGGTCTGGGTGTGATTTTTATGTGGAATTGTATGTGAAATAATAGAAACCTTATATAAAAAATTTTAATCAATCCAAAAAAAAATCGGTTGCCTATTACACCCATACAATCTACAGTAGGATATTCCTGGTCTAAGTTTTAAAATGTTTATATTATTGTAATACAACTAGTTATCGTCTGTCCGTCGCTTACGTCCGTGTTAAATGTTCTACGCTTCGTTGTGAATCGCTAATAAATATACGTTGCGAAAGCTAAATTGGTTTGTTATTTCTTACATCTCATCATCATCATCATCAGCCTATAAGTGTCAAATGCTGAGCAAAGGCCTCTTGGCACATGGAGAAGGTTTGATCATCAATCACAAGGCAAAGTGGTTTGGCAATTTAAAACTTATAATTTCAGATGTTTCTCTTAATCGTTTGTAGGTGTACAATCTTATAAAATGCATATAACTTGAAAAACTCATATAGGACTTGCCAGATTTGGAACCTCTAGACCACTACGACATTTCCTTAATTGGTTTGTCAATAAAATTATGACTCAATATCAATTACATGACGCTACAACTAGGGTTCAACCCTAGATGAGTTGACAGGTTACCACATTCAATGGCCAGGCCTACCATGACGTGTTATCTTTCGGGCGAGAAAGAGGGATGGAGCTGTACACCTTTTATACCTCCATCCTTCTTTCTCGCCCGGAAGATTCGCGCTTTAACACTTCATGGTAGGCCTACAGATCTGTGAGGTTCGCTTAACATTTGGGTAAAAAGTCTGACATATACGTCAATATTTTTATGTTAGAATTAGTGTAAAAGTGTAGGTCGAAATGTAAAAAGCCGAGCAGGCCGTATGTTTTTATCGAATAGCTAATCAAAAGGTGTAACTAGGTGTGTCTGGTTTTATCCAGACGCCTGGCAACTCTAACTACAAATTCAGCCCATCGGTATCATCGAATCAGAAACAGTTATCAGTTTCAAAATAATACATTTGTAGTTCGTTAATAAGATTAGATAATAAATAGAAATCCCAAAACAGTAACATTTGAGAAGAACAATATATCATCCATTGTAATAAAGTTAACATAGAACACGTCTTTATAAATAACATACCTAATACTAAATAATGGCGTGGAAATATAAACCCACAAAGTACCGATCGTAAATTAAAATGTAAACTACAATTGACTTAAACATTGATTGGTTGATGAGAACAGTTGTAGGTTACAACTACATCGGTAACAAAAGAAAAAAATAAACTTCAATAATGACTTCACCATCTGCCTTGAAACATCTCAAATGACTGAACTAAAACGTTAACTCACTCAAAACACTCATAAAATCTTAAGTAGTTTACGTTTCGTTGTTTTATTACCAGCTGTCGAATAATTCCTGCATGTTTCACAGGAATGCATCAACTCGCTCGCATCTGATGACCACACCGGCATGGATTCCTTCCACGAATGTCTTCAGGAATATGGCGAAGGTCTAGAAGTTGTACAAATATGCCTCGAACCAGAAGAAGCATCTATAAAAGATGATGAACTGTCAGCTTTAGGAGACATCAGTCTTGATGACTGCAAGAAAATTGGAAAAGACCTCGTCATAAATGGTAATACTGAGATTAAAATTAATGGAGTCGCAGAGTTAAAGTTTTCTAAATCAGAAGAGTCTTTAGATGATCATGATGATGATATGACAATAACTGAAGATGACGTCCTGGTCGCGCCTAGAGAACTACAGGATATCAGAAGTAAATCTGCTGACAGGAAAGAAGAAGGTGAAAGATGTTTATCTAAACAACAAAGCAAAGATATTTCTACATCAGATGAAATGGTTTTTGCTGTCACACCGACGGGCTTAGAAAGAATAAGTTTCGACAAATATTGGAAGGAAAGTGATGTGAAAATAGACACCGAATTAAATAAGGTAAAGAGCGATGAAAGTTGGAAAGAGTGCCTCAATTCCCCAAACGAAGATACCGTTAGTTTCTACGATGCAACCACAAGAATTTCCGTCCAGGAAGAAAACAATTCCCTTCTGTATATAGATCATGAAATAGATGGTTACGAAACGTGTCTGGACGAAGACTCGTCATCACAGAATTGCACAGTAAAAAACGGTCGTAAAATGAACGGCGATACTGACATCAAAGCGTTCAGTAAACACGATGATAAAATAGTATTTAAAAACAAAGACAACGATGTAAGTGCCAAAACAGTAAAGGAACAAAACACTGCCAATGCGACGGGTGGCGACGACGTCTCGTACAGCCACCCGTATGTCCACGAACATATAATAAAGCAGATGAAATCATTGAGAATAGAACCATTAAATGTAAACATTACTCATAAAAAGAAGAAGAAAGAAAAAAGTCCTACGAAGCCGTCCAAACAAGAGAGGATACAATGCGTTGAATATTACAACGATCAAGCTGAATGCTTGAAAGAAATAAGACAACAGAAGTTGGAAGAAGAGAAAAAGCACAAAGCGGAGCACAAACAAAAGGAAAAGAAACACACAGATGAACACAAGCATAAAGAACATAAGCACAAAGAAGAAAAGTTGAAAGAAGAGAAGAGAAGTAAGGATACGAGTTTGATGGTTATGGATAAGAAGATACATTTGACACAGGAACCTAGTGAAGAGTCTACTGATTTGGAGACGAACTATGTTCCAGGGTGTCATAAGTGCTTCTTAGAGAACTATGCGTATGCGATAACTAAGGCTTACATGGCTGAAGCGAACGCGTGTAAATATTGTGAAGTGATAAGGGAGATGTTAGAAGTGCCTAAGAACTCTAACCGGCGCGGGTCAGCCCCAGCACTGGTTAACCTGGACAGCTGTTCCGAGACTGATGATGAAGACCTTCTTATGGTGCCTATGGTGAAGGATAGGAGGAAATCGGCAGGGATACTAAAGTTCCCTAATGCTGCAAGAAGACCTAGGTAAGTTGATGTTTCGTTTTACATAATTATTTATCAACATACAGACATACGGTGCACCACAAAAGATTTCCTGCCTACTCGTGCCTAATGCGATGAAGCCTTATGGAAAGGACGGGCTTACGTCTATCTGTTTAAACATTTACAACGACCGTACATACGAAAAACTTCTCTATTTTTACGAAAACAACGCTGAAAGTCGTATAGAACACAACGGCCTCAGTTCTCACATGTAACGTAGTTGAAAATTGGATTCTACTTGTGTTTCTTGTAGGTTGGTTTTGTGTTGTTGCGCTATGGGAAGGTTGATCTTATAAACGTGATGCTTGCTCTAATATCGTCAAGTTCAAGTTGTCAAAGTCATTGTTGAATTCACGTGATGAAGTATAAGGGTGCGAGGAGTGTGGATAAGATATGTATAATGGTATTAGTCAGGCGTCTCTTTACACGTGATGTGGCGATTTCTCATTATCAGCCTATAAGTGCCCACTGCTGACCAAAGGTCTCTCCTCAGTCTGAAAACGTTTGAACGCTTAATCAAGGCGGATTAGCATTGTTAAACTTTAGGAAATCTGGATAAATTTATAATCCAGGATAATAAATATAGGTTTTCTCACGATGTTTTGCTTTATCATATGTCATTGGTGTCTAAATAAACTTGAAGCACGATTGGCGCGATGACAAATGGCTGCCGCACAACGTATGGTGGATTCGATTCCCGCACGGAACAACTCTGTGTGATCCACTAATTGTTATTCCGATTCTGAGTGTGGTGTGTATCTGAAATTGTATGTTTTTAAACGCACCCACGACAAAGAAGAAAATATTAGTCTAAGGTAAGATTAAAAAAAAAACGTACATAATAATATGTCTCGGAAAAAGTTGGTATTGTCCGAGTTTCGAATCCGTCCTCTCATGTCATGAATGCAAGAATCTGGCTCGTAGCTTCAAGGCCAAATGGATTTTTACTGGAAGATAGTGAGCAATTTTTATTTCAAAAAGTTTGCAATGTATATTATTATCATAACTTGTCCAAAAGAAAGATAATTTTCGACTCCAACTACCACAATATTGACAAAATTCATTACGAATCCCTAAAACGAACTCCGTTAGCGTGCTAAACAGTAATAATGAAACAATCTAAAACTAATAATTAAATTGATTTTTTTACTTCCATCATACCCCAACCATAGTTATTTGCAAACTTCTACCGATGATCTTTAAAATGTGATTATTATTCATTTATCAGACGGTAATCTATGTCTTCGCCAAAAGTCGAAAAATATTTAGTAGTTTTTAAAGGTCTCAACCAATATTCTTTTTGTGTTTAGGGAAACAATATAATGGCTTTTCATGATAGAGAGTATAAGACTCTTGCTGACTAACAATTACGCCATAGGTATCTTCTCGCATTGTGCTTGAATCAGCAATTCGGGATCAACATAATTATTTTTTTTGTTTCTTGAAATTTACGATACAAGAAAGAATTTAAACATCCATATTTTATTTGGCTCCTAGAATGGGTATTAATAGTCTTTATTCAATTTTAAAAGGCTCAGATTTTTTAGGGATCCACCCATGCCCGATCTATGGGCACTCGCCTAGTCATCTATATTTTAAAAAGAGTCACGGTGGAATTATTTTTTCATTCTTCTCCATTTCGAAACGAACACCTAGCTTCACTGACGAACATACTGCGAGACTACTATTATAATTTGACGTTTCAAAAGTACTTATTTATGATTTAGTGAAAATAAATCATTTTGACTTTGATATCATCCACGGGATCCATTATCATAGGAAAAATAGTTCGTATATCATTATATGTGTATGTATGAAGTTTAACTAATTTGTGTAAGTGGGCTCTGAGCTTTTGTACCATGTCGGTATTATCGTAACGAGCCCGCGTCCCTGGAGGACGATGTATTCGATATATCGTTGGCTGTACCTCATCAATATGCGAATGATGACACACGAATTGTATTCATTTGTGTAATTGCGGTGTTGTACTTCTTAGTATTGTAGTCTTTTTTTAACGAGTGGACGAAATATCTGGTCACTGATAGACGCTTGAAACGTATAAAGAGTGCGTTACCGGCTTTTCTGTAAGATAGACTTTTAGGAGTAGGGATTTCGGAAAGGCAGCGATGAGACTCCGGCAACCTCGATAATGCCTCTAACAACAATGCTATTTTTGATTGGGAAAATCATCAAATGACTTCTCTTGCCTAGGGTCAATGTTAGACACTTACTGACTAAAAACCACCCCCGTTCCTTCTCCTGCTCGCTAATTGCGCTTGCCCCGCAAACGTGGATGAACACCAGCCCTTCCTAGAACAGGGCTTCACACACGTATGAAATGAACGCGTTTGTACAAACAAAATATCAGTCTTCTAAATACTAATGACGACTTGCCTTGGCACTAATTAAGTTTGCCACACAAACTAGTAATGTAAACATTTATATGTGGATAACATGATACAGTAAAACATGCTTCGAAACAGATTTCAAATATTGTTATTACTTTTATGGGTATATCGGCAAATGAGGAGACGGTTGATCTGATGGTAAGCAATCCAAAATTGCCAACAACAGGATTTTCAAATGTGTTTCTGAGGTTAGAGACGATTGGGCCTTCTTGTTGACATTTCTGGAGGGGATTGGGCCTTCGGCATCTTATCGAACCGGTCGAACTAAAAGCCACCCCGTTCCTTCTCCTGCTTCGAGCCGAGACGGGCAGCGGTATCACGCACTTAACTTCAAAAAATATATAAAATCTATCAAATAATAGACCGAAGAAGGAAGAAACACTTTGTAATTTGAAGGTAACCTGCGTGTCTTCAAGGCCCGAGTGAATAGGTTGCTAATCAGTAGGCGTGCTCCATCGTAGGTCGCATCACCACCAGGCGAGACAGCATCCAAATGCCTAAAAAAAGAAAAAACAATAATTATTTATCGCTAATTAATTTTTAATAAAGCATATTAACATTAACATATGACACAAAATCGCGTGACAACACCAAGTTTAAAAACAATTTAACAAAAAGCCACTGTTATAATAAAGTTGTTTTGTAGAAAATTAATGAAAAATAAAATCCAGGCCCTCGGCAGCTTATGAGGGATTAAAGAAAATACTAGTGATGGGACATCGAGTCTGCTTTGTGTGTCATTGTCGATAGTTTCGAAGGTGACAGACTGATTTCGAACTTTATACCTATAATTATAGTTTCTGCCGACGACTTCGCTCGTAAAAAGTAGACTATGCATTACTCTAGACTAGAATCTGTACCTTTCCCAAATTTCATTCGGATCCGTCTAGTAGTTTTTACGTGACAGAGTAACAACCATGCTTCCAAACATAGGTACAAACATTCGACACTATCTTTTTTTTTCGGATATTGACTTATTTTTTTCGATATTTTTTTTATGAAAAACACGTAATTCAACCTTGAAAAAGAAGGCGGTTTGGAAGACGGACAATCAATTAATTATTTCAATTGTTTCAAATTCTAGTGAGCTAATAAATAAACGTCGATTTTATGTTAAAGCGTGAAAATACTCTGACATCACCAATATATCTTGACACCACATAATGGCGCCACGCGTTGCACTAAACGCTAACATTAATAGCAAAATCAGTACATTTGAATTATTTCTTAATTTTATCACCGGTCAAGACATACGGTCTGATCTTGTTTACTTTCCACGATCAAACACCAGCACATCAGACTTAATGATTTACGATGTAAACCATTAAAATAAATTATTTCAAACGTTTTCGTTATTTCGTGCAGTTTTTTGAACTCTTTTGAATTAAAAAAAATTACATAGTATAAAACAAAGTCGCTTTCTCTGACCCTATATCCCTATGTTTGCTCAAATCTTAAAAACTTCGCCAAAGATTTTAATACATTTTATTTCAATAATAGAGTTGAAGAGGAAGGTTTATATGTATAATAGCATCCATTAAACAGTGGTAAAATTTTGTATCAGCAAATGTATCCGTGCCAAACCGGAGCGGATCGCTAGTATCATTATAAACTATTTAATACTTCAAAAACATAGGATTTTTCAAAAACATAATAATATGTCAACGTTATTTAATAAATGATGCTCCCAATTACGCCTGTCTGTGCTTTCATTAAATTTTTGGTGTCATCAATCAGTCTGTTTATATCCCCTTAGTAATTTGTATTATGTCATCATTAATTAAAATGACATTTATTGTTTAATTGCATCGACGACTTCGTAGTGTATTGACTGAATTATTTGTAAGTAATACAATCCAATCTGAATAGGTTGAATGATATAATTAAACCTAAAATTTTATTTAATCACTTATTTAGGAAGCTGAAACAGCTGTGCGAATTCCGCGAATATTTCCGCTCAGCATAGCAAAACTTTGGAATGATTCTGGCGGCGGCATTTTCAAATCGATAGAACCTTCAAATCTTTAAGAAATGAACGTATCAGTGACTCCTTCGGTGTGATCACTTATCATCATATGATACGTCTGGTCATTTTCATCCTATAACTTAAAAGCAAACAATAAACAAAATGTACGAACGAACACAGTATTGTATATTTTTTCTGCTAGCAATGTTAATTGTCAATTCAATGTCAATTACTTCACGAACATAGCAAAGAATTAGATATATTTGATCATAGATTTTTTAAATTGAAATATAAAATAGGTCGAATTATGTCAAAATTGAAATTCTAATTGTAATTTTTATTCTTCTAATTAAATTTATAATAGTATTTATAATTAATTATATATAATTAATTAATAACTCAATATTACAATATTCAATTAATCAATCAATCTAATTCAAATATCAATTAATTTAATTAAGTTATTAAATATTTTATATTATAACACTTCCTGCATAATATAATTGCCTAATAATCATGCAGTGTACACATGTGTAGGGATGCGGTCTTGATCTGTTTTACTTATTTTATAGATATTCTGTAATGTTATTGATTGTATCCTGTTTTGT